AAGCGATTGCGGTAGATGTTGAGCACAGCGTTACCACACGTGATCTGGTGCTGATACATGACCGAGCGCCTTCACCAATGGAAGACACAACCAAAACAAAGAAGTAAACAATGATAAATTTAAGGTCAACAAGAACCAATCAACATCGAGGTGCACAGAACAAGCTGTGAAACACATATGGAGAAATTCTAACACTTCACTTCTATTTGAAGTTTGTGCTGATGATGTCGTTCAGAAGAACGATGAAAGCTCCACGACCAAACCATCCAGCTCAGAGAACAAAACTCCACCAAAAGCTAGATGAGTCCACTAAGACATATGATCAGCATCCAATGTTGAAAACGTACAGAGCTATTTAGTTTTGGGGATTTATTTACCGCTACAGATCCCTCCCTCCCCCTAGTAGGGTAGTGATGACCCTAAGACGTGGCCAGCAAGAAGTTCAAGCCCAACGAGTTTGTCGTTGGTAAACACTCTCCTGATAGCTTACTAATTTTAGCGGCGTCTGATCGTCTTTCATTACTATAGATGAGTCCACTAAAACATATGGTCAGCATCCAATGTTGAAAACTTACAGAGCTATTTAGTTTTGGGGATTTGTTTACCGCTACAACTTGTTGCTCCGTTGTATTTATGGCAGCTTCCGTTGTTATTTATATTCTCGTAAACCTGTTTACTTATTTGCTCTGTTTCAATACTTCCATGTCGTTTATTAGTTTTAAATGGTGATCGACTTCCTAATGTTTCTGTCTTTTGATAACTGTTTTCCCCAGTTTTACTAAAGTTTTATAGGGTTTCGCAAAGTCTTTGTTTACCTAGAAGCATTCCTTAAATGTTTATTCAAATAAATAGTACGAGGAAGCTCACGCGTTTCAAATGGAAGACATAAGATGACCTGCATTTAGTGTTATATGTCGAATTTAAATCTCCTCAGTAATTATATGCTCGGCTCCGAAGATTAGTAACAATTACCACTACAAACTAAGTAATACTATTGATACTCATCTGATGGGAATATCTGAAACATAGACATCTCAAATCATAGACCAGGAGCTGGCAATACTCGTCATGTCTTTGTTTCTCAACGACAGAAAAACAGGAATAGGAGGAGTGGCTTTATACATATTAGTTGCTTGGTGGAACATCAAGTGTACATGCAAGAGTTAATCAATCCCGATCAATCTGTAAAGTGCCGGTTTTGGATAAATTCATATCCTGACACTAGGAGACTCCAATCTTCCTAAAATCAACTTGGCTGGATACTAGTAGATTGGACGTGACAACTCTCACAAAGCTCAGTTCTTCAACGTCATTCAAGATCTGAGATCATTCGAAAATGTGAAGTTAGCAACTCGCAAGAGAACGTTAGACACTGTCACGTTTAAACTTCATATTTACAAGTGAAGAATTTTCAATTGACAACCCATCAATCTTAGTTTATCTGGGTAAAGGTGATCATTAATAATGCTCAACTGTTTTGCCCGACCGTGATGAGGATCGAAAGAATGTTCGACATTCATTGAGTTGTTTGCAGATTAGAGAGCTACATATCACTAGCCCTTAAGATGTCACAGTGTAAATTTCTATAAATGACGTACAAAAGTTTTATTTTGGGATGATCTTTGGATTAAAGTGACATAAAGAAACTTCGCACCCTATGCAGAAGAACAGAATTTGACGTGGTCAGATAAAAATTTCTCTACTGAATAACGTTCTGAGTTCAGACTAAATATTCGAAGTTTCGTTGTAAGATACAATATTTAAGTAAATCCGCATCAATAGCACAGGATTTTAGAAATTTTCTACAAATTTATCGTTAAAAATGGTTTTATTCTGTCAAGTGTTCCTTCACCGTATAACTCCAACCTTGAAACTACAGATGATAAAAAGTTAAGTTAACTAAAGAAGGATCACTCAATATTGATGGATTAACCCAGCTGTGTGAAGTTCTGATTACTTCAAATAAAGTGACAGCACCTTTACTGCAGCTTCATTTAAATCGGGTACGAAGGCATCATAAGTCAGCATGGACGCTAAGAGAGAGACGAGGATGATGAGAGGCTAGTAGACCTGTATTCTTTCAATGAAGTCATAAACATCACTGTTTTACACAGAAGACGTATGAACAAATAGAGGAAATTCCATAACTACTGATCATCTTTTGTGGCCAGGCTAAAACTAACTATAAAGAGGAGTTGATATATTGGACAAACGGAATATCTAAAGTTTAATACAGAGTTAATTTGAGAAGTTAACAGAACCAACGAGTTCATGATCCCTTTTAATAACAACTGAGTTTTAGAAGACCTACCAGAATAAGAGGATATCAACTGGAAATGGACTTAAGAAGCATTAAATTAATCATGCTAGGAGGTTCCTGGTGGAAAGAAGCATCAGTATAAAGAGCGGATCTCTGTAAATAGTCTAAACAGGATTCAGAAAGGGAAAATAAGCGGATAAATGAGCCAAAACTCAAGTTGAATGTGCTGAAGCAAGCGACTGAAGAAGAGCATCAGGACCAACGAGATGAAATACTGATAAAGATTGGAAGAAAAAGCACAAAAAGGAAATAATGAGGAACTGTGTAACGCAGCCAAGAAGTTAGTAGGGAGATTTAGTAAAGTGAAGAGATCAGTCTGAAACATTACAAAATATTGATGACGGAGGTGAATTGGGGACTTGAGACATCTTTTGAAAAGACTAATGTAGCCGTGCATTAAAGTACCACGCACCCAAACCTCTCTATATTTTTATAGTTCATCAAAAACAAAAAAAGAGAGTAGCTAGACCATCACGTATATCACGAATGGCAATGCAGTATACCAGTCAGCACATACGGAAGCACTCAAGCAAGATATATCAGTGACTGTACAGATGCTTCATGTTATTTTCGCAAAGAACAAGAAACAATAAACTGGAAAGAAGGGATACCATATCATGATGAGATGTAATCAAGATCTTAATGAGTATTATTACTTGAGAGTTATATAATTACTGTAAGTACTAGAGTGGATAGAAAAGCCTGGTGGAATGTTCTTTGAAACTACGGAGTGTATAAGATCTTCACCATCGCACGGAATTTTCATAAAGAACTGGATTCTAAATTCATACATGCACAGAACACATGGATGAACTGCAAGTGAAAACTGCCGTCGAATAAGATTTCCGAATTTCACCTTTTCATTTTCTTCTGGTTATTGATTGGATTAGGAAGGCCTCGATATCTCAGGAACACTACAAAATACAGTGGACACTCCGGGATAAACTAGATGATACGAACTTCGTATATGACTTGGACTTGCTGATGAAGACAGCTAATACAGCAATAGCTTTCACAGAAATAAAACTCAACATTCACAATGGAAAAAGATCATAAAATACAAAATAGCAAGAACCAACCTAATCATATTTGATAGTGAAACTGTGAAAGAGCTGGGAACCTTTACATGCCTTGGAGGCATAATAGATAAACAAGGAGCGTTTGATACAGACGCAAATCGGGAAGACGATGGGATCATTCCTATTATCGAAAAATATTTGGAAGTATGAGCAACTGTAACTTAAGACTATAATCAGAATTTAAAAAGCTAACATTAAAACAGCCCCATTATGCAGAACTCGTACGTAAAGAAATGTCATCAACATCAATAAAATAGTACATGTATTAATAAGTAGCTGTTTACGCATGATACTCTAGATTCATTTTTTCAAAGCCATCATGTGGTGTTTGTAAGAACTAATGAGTCCTTTGTACTTGATGACTGCCTGACTTCGAATTCTAAAGACGTTTTTCCGTGCTCGTTTAGTTCATCTTGGTTATATTGTGTTATTTCTGGGATTCCTAATTCGTATAATAATTCAGATACTTCTAATTATCACATTGGCGTCGCGAGCAGGATCCAGTGATGGAATAATTGGACATAAATTCAGATTTTGAAAATTTTGTGGACTATATGAAAAGGTTTGAAATCAGGCAGTCATCAAGTTTAAACAAATCACAAGTTCATACAAGCATCACACATCAGCAATAATCTACTGTGAGGAATAACAAACCCATTACCATTTGCGTAATGTAGAAAAATATGCTAGGCGTAGGAAACTCTATACAGTGACCATTCGGTTGCATTACAAAACAAACCTTAGCTTAGTATCTTCAAAGAACACATGACTCAGGGAAGTGGAGGTGAACATAAGGACTATGAATAGGACTTGGGAACAACTGAGAAGGGAAGCTCAGGACAGAGTTGTTTACAGATTTCTGATTGCTAAACTTCGCTTCAAAATCAGTCAGAAGTTTGAGTGAGTGATAAAAAAGCAATTTCATAGTTTGAACATTTAAAGGTACTTTATATAGCCAAACCAATTGTAGTACTTCATCATTTAAATGTACTACACTGAATTCTTCAAGCCACTAAGAGGGACTGATAGAAATACTGTTAGAACTTGAGTTTATGTCGATGGCGAGAGTCATCACTTTAAGCTATAAATCTTAACATTAAAAATTGCAGTTACAGATCAGGCTGTTATAACTAAATCCATTCCAAATATATATGGCTTTACGCCTAGACCACAAACAAACACCGCATAAGTTAATATTATTATCATTTCAGCTAAAAGACTATTTAAAATGCTTAAAAATGTAATTTCTTTTGTATTTCTTAGCTTCGACTCATTCACCTCCTCAAAATAAGATTATTAATTAATGGATACGTTTTAGTATATTAAGTTTTTCTTCTGGTAAGCGTTTTCTTAGTGAGTTAGTTTTCTACAGGGTGGGGTCGCTAACTCCATACCCAACCCTCCTCTTTTATCCTGGCTTGGAGCCGGCAGTAGCCCTAGAGTGGCTCCAGGTGGAGGACTTACCTACGTCACAAGGCAAGCTTTCACATGAAACCCTCAAGGCCAATGAAAAAGAGGAAAACCAAAGAACACATTATGCCGAGAAACGGAGACAGACATTTGAAGAATCAACAAAAATTGGATAGAACTAGAAAGGAAGGCTCAGGACAAAGTGGGTTGGGATAATATTGGTCGGAGTAAAGGGCGTAAGTAAGTAAGTTTTTTATTATCAAGTCATCAACATCATGGAATACATACTGCTATGTTTTTAAAATATTTTACGGTTTCAACCATCAAAATCAATATTCATCAATAAAAAAAGGTACATTCTTCAGTTATTCATAAAAGTGTATTGAAACAATACTAAATTTGAAAATTCATTCAAATAAACAAAAAAAAAGTACTAAAAATGTAATTTATATTGTCATTCACTAAAATATACTTATTGAATATGAAAATTAGTACAATGATAATAATTATTATGCCAAAAAAGAAATTATCTTTACAAATATTCTGAAACAAATCCAATAAATTCTTCATAATTTAATCTTTCATCTTTATTTTTATCATATTTATCAACCCATTGTTCAGCTTGTATAGGAAATATAAAATTACAATCATTTTTCATATAATTTTTTATTTCTTCTTTTGAAATAGTTCCATCTTTATTTCGATCCATTTCACGAAATATTTTCCTTAATGCAGCACATCTTGAAATAGATGTTGTAATGTATTGAAAGAAACATTTAATGACAAAGTAATAAATAGATATTGTTTGAATGAAATGAGATTAATATCCAGTGCTTCTAGGTTTATCATGATAGTTTAGTTTCAATCGATTCATGATCTTAACTATTAAAATTATTTTATTCAAATTAAATCTTTTTAATAAAAGTGTATTCTAAATCAGATATTATAGAATTAGGTTAAGTGTTCGCGCGCGAGACTGAAGGCCCTGGGTTTGAATCCCGCAAGCAGGATTGTGGATGTGCACTGTTGAGGAGTACCACAATAGGACGAAACAGCCGTCCAGTGTTTCTAGGTTTTCAATGTTGGTCTAACATCAACTGTTTCATGATCTTAATCAAAAATTTAATAGTCTCCACAACCCCTATACTGATAATTGATTGAAACTTTGCAAATTAGGTATTTACAGTATGATTCTCAGATTGTACTTAGATGTTCTGTAATTTTGTGTTTTCAAATCCATTCGATTGTCCCTACTTGAGTCCTTATTCATTTCATGATCAATTCCTTCTTAATCTTATCACATGATTATAGTATTAATGCTCTGTTATGCTAGCGGGATAAAAAACTGTCCAGTTAAACAATATAAAACAGATACCTAACTTGTTATGTAATTAAACTTGCATTCTTTCAGTTCAGTTAATTATAAATAACTTTTAGAGTACAGGAAATTCTAATATAGACAAATGACTTGTTCAATACAAAAAAATAAAAAAAATTTTAAAAAAAAAACTCACGATACATCAGATTGTGCAAGTTTCTTATTTGTAGCTTTCATGAATTCATTTTTAGATATTTTCCCATCTTTATTTTCATCATACAGTTTGATAACTTCCTTTACAGAAAAAATATCATGAGGAAGTACAAAAAGAAGGTTCATAAATAAAAAATTAACCAATCTAAACAAACATTATTAAAAGCTGACAAATAAAAGAGAGATACATATACAATAATATACATATAACATTTACAAAAATTATAAAATTACGTAATAAGAAGTGTACAGATAAATACACCGTGAAGTGTATATTTCAGAAAAAAAGGGTGGGAGGATATGAAATTAACGAACAAAGAATATGGAAAAAAATAAACAAATTCATTTATTAAGTTCCAATAGTTAAGATCATGAGTCAATTGAAGCTAGATCACCATGGACAACCTCGAAGCACTGGAAGACCGTTTCGTCCTAGTATGGGACTCCTCACTAGTGCGCATCCACGATCCCGCCCCCCCGCGAGATTCGAACCTGGGACCTATAAGTCTCACACGTGAACGCTCAACCATTAGACCACTGAGACAGCATCCAACGGTGTTAATGTCTAACTTCAACTAATCCACGAAATTGAGTTACATATCCACCATTGTTATCAGTGAGTTGCTATCTCACAACTGATCCGGTTGAACTCCACTGGTCACTCCTTCTCAGTAGAACTCCAGAATATACATCTTGAAGCCAATCACTAGTGAGCATATGCTGATCAGTATCAGAAGGGGTTATTTTGTGGAGATTGTAGTAATTTCAATAGTTGTGATCATAACTCAATTGAAGCTAAAGCACCATGGAAAACCTGGAAGCACTTATTAAGGCCAAAGTTGAGATAAAATTGTTACGAATTTCTTATAAACACAAAGACTTAGATTGTTGGCTTGAATTCTTATAGCTTCTACTATGTGTGAGAGACGAGACTGAACACCATAAGGAAAACTAGTAGGAATACGATAACTTCAAATGACTGATAAACTACCTTGATTAGTTTAAGAATTTCATATATGCATATAAATATTACTGTATATTAGCATAAAGCGCGATGAGGATCTAATGGAAAACAATATTGTTCACTTATATTTATATATATTGTTCTAAAACCTTTTATCACATTTTATAAAGAGAAAAAAGAAAACAAGAAAAAGAATAACGATTTTTTTGTTGTTGTGCTCTTGAATTTTTTAAAAAAAACCAATCAAACAAATAAAATCTTCCTTTGTTTTTTCTTTTTCTTTTCTTCTTTTTTTCTCTGGATGTCAAAAAATTCGTTACAATTATTAACTGGAACAATTATGTACTTCTTTTTACTTGTTTCTTTTTGTGTTTTTTTCTTTTGATGAATATATTTTGATTATCACGTTTACTCATTATCTTTCCACATGATATATATATATATATATATATATATATATATATATATATATATATATATATATATATACAAATCGTCAAAAGAATAAAACAACTTTACGATGAAAATTATAAATTTTTCAAGTAAGAATTATGAAATGAATAAAGAAAAACAAACTAGAAAGATTAATTGGTAATTATGATGAGATTGTTAAGATTTTGATTAAGATCATGAATCGATTGATGCTAGACCATTATTAAGAGCAATGGAAGCACTGAATGAAGGTTTTGTTCTAGTATGGAATACAAGATTTCAATGAACAACAAAAAAAGACTTACCATCTATATAACCTAGTAATGATAATTATCATGTTCTTATTAATGACTAGCTTTGTGAGGGTATTATCGGAGTTCTAGTGAGAAACCGTGACCAGTGGAGATAATCCATGTCAGGGAGAGACAGGTATGTACCTCAGACAATGGAAGATGGTAGTGCAATATCGTAGATTGATTGAAGTTAGATATTAACACCATTGGAGACCCACTCAGTGGTCTACAGGTTAGACGTTCGCACGCGAAACTAAAAGTACTGTTTTTGGATTCCGCTAGCGGAATCGTGGATGCACACTATTTACGAGTCCCATACTAAGACAGAACGGCCTTCTATTGCTTTGTGGTTTTCAATGGTGGTCTAACATTGATCGGTTCATGATGTCAATGAAGAAAATATAAATTAAGTTGAACTATTAAGAATTCAAGGTGTACAACTAAAGTGTAATTTCAGACAAAATTTACCTTTGAATTTTGTGTATTATATTTAGGATTGCTAACAGTCATTTATAATATTAGAGATGTTATTATTAATTAAATGCCATAATATATATAAATGATAACAACCAATTTAACTTGTCAGAAATTATCTGCTTTGATGAATGAATATGATGTTTGTAGTCAATAGAATTAGTATGAAGCCTATCATATTTATTCAATGTCGTTTTTTCAACTGCATTTATTAGCTGCCTAAAGTTATATACTTAAGTCAGCAAACGAAATCCATACTTTCTGACAAAATAAATCTAGATTCAAGATAATTTTTTCAACATCTACTATCCCTTTATTATTATAGCACTTCTAGTCCCATTTATATGTATTCTGGTTGAAGCTTTTGATTTACACAGATCGATTCGATAACATTCCTTTTAGAGGTATTTGTGAAATTTCGGTATTATTTGAACGTTAATCAATAATTAGAAAGAATTAATATGCAATTTGTGGATTGTATTCATCAACGAGTGCTATCACTTGAGGTGTTATGTAGAATCAGAGAGCTGTGAATGGTTATTTCATTTCAGTATGGGATCAATCAGTAGTGTGCATCACTCATGACCTATGGAGGCCGAAGCAATTATTTATATCAACGCAGGATGTCTACTATAAACCTCATGGTGAGTAACTTGAATGAGAATCAACGGTTAAAATCAATGTAACGTGATTTTAAAAAAATTGAACGTATATTAGACCAGCAGATTTTTTTGCTAATTATAGAAGGTTTTCAGGATATGTGATGAAAGTCCTCAGAAGGAGGACTTCAAGAATAACAGAAATCGAAAGGTGTTGCTAAGGTCATAAAATGTATTAATTCGGGGAAAATATCAATTATGAAGGAGTGAAAAAAAACAATGATTTTCTAAATACTTACTTCAGCTTTGTTTTTAGGAAAACCAAAGCTTTCCAAACAGCTAATAATTTCAGCTCTACTTAGAAATCCATCAGAATTTTTATCAATACTGTCGAATTCTTTTTCAAGTATATACATTACAGCCATTCTGTTAAAAAATGGTAATTATTCAAGAAGAAACATCAACATGGTACTCACAATACGATAGTGTTTTAAATTGTTTTAAAAATCGGTAAATTGTTTAATCATTAAAAAATCTATTTCAGTAGTTCCTGTCATTTGTTTCATATACAAAGGTATTCCATATGGTATATTACTTGGATTTCTTAATTGTTGGTACTTTTTAGCACAATATTATTCATTTAACTTTACTTAGTCGAAAAACAAGGAAAAATATAGTGAAACAGCTTTTCACTAGTGTTTCTTAATTGTTTAATTAGTTCTCTGAAAGCACGATAAAGCTTAACTTTGTAGATTATTTCCTAGTTTACTAGATAATTTTCTAAAAAAGAATCATAAACGCATGTCGGAATAACAAAAACCTATGCCCCCAAATATTTCCAAATGGTATTAGAGGTGTGAAGGCGGTTATCATATTGTGGTTGCCTACACCATGGATGGATAATTATTCTTGAGGGACCTGATAAGGAAATTGAGTTTGAGGTAGTCTTGAAGACTTATGAGAAATTAGGATTTATACCAAAAATAGAACACAAATATTGTTTTAGGAATCATGAAATAAACTAATGATTTATTATGCCAAATCGGAATTTCTTCTTTTAACAGCAAAGATCTTTTGGATTAGACTTCTGTTATGTTAATCACATGATTGATTATTAGACTGCAGAAACGTTAAATGTAGTTTGGAATTAATGTAAAGAAAATCCTTATTTTAATTATTTCTTTCATAAATTTCTATATTTTAGAAGTATTATGTTCCATACAAATTTTCAAACTGTTTAGCTCAACTTTGTTAAATAGACCCGAGATATTGGTTTGTAACAAGTTCCACAGTGTAATCAATAAATTTTCACTACAATTGAAACGTAAGATAACAAGTTCATGAGATCGAACATTGATTTTGTCTCCATGTTTTTTTCTCATCTTTTAAGGCTCGATCAAAAATTATTTTCAACCAAATCAAGTTTTTTTTTAATTGCACAAATTAATGAAACAATGATTTATTAGGAATACTGACAATTAACTTAGAACAAAGATCAAATTAAAATTATATAATCCGTTATAGTCATTTCATAGTTTAACTGTATGGGACTCCTCAGAAGTGTACGTCCACGATCCCATACTCTGGATTCGAATGTAAGTCAGTTACTCTCCAAAAGCAACGTAATCTTACAGAAAGTATGATATTGATAACTAGTTCATTTAAGCTAGAAATATTAGCTGTACATATTCTACGTTTATTTCAACACTCTTTGTAAACCGCTTATTTTATTAATAGATATATCTTAATATTTGATCAAAATGTTTAATCATCTAATTAAATTTTACCATCAATGAATGGTAGATAATGAATATAATCTAAGTTTTAGAATCCATATAAACATTTCTGACATGTACATTGATAAAAGATGATGATCACTACTGTGGTGTGTGCTACTGATGTCGACAGATATAAGTAGTATGTGTCATCAATCGAAAGTGAAATGTCGAGTGGCAGAAGGTTAAGAAGATTGAAGAGAAAAGAGCGAGAACAGGGAATAATTGATGTAAAAACGAAGGAATAATCAAGTCTGAGACAATTGATTGACATTTCGCAAATGAAGTATTTACTATATGATTCTCAGAATTTAATAAAAGATTCTGTAATTTTGCATTAAAGTACATTTAATTGTCCCAGCATGTGTTCTTGTTCACTACAGTACCTTGGCTAATTATTATTAACTTTTCAGTAGACTAAATGTATTTTCAATAGTTAAAATCATGAGTCAATGGAAGCTAGACCACCATGAAAAACCTGGAAGCACTGGAAGGTGGTTTCGTCCTCGTTCGACTGTCCCAGCATGTGTTCTTGTTCACTACAGTACCTTGGTTAATTATTATCAACTTTTTAGTAGACTAAGTGTATTTTAACAATGTTCATGTACAAGGTAGAATTTTCAATATAATAAATTATCCTTTGCTAATACATTAGAATAATATAATTATTAAATTTGTTAGAAACCAAAAATCTTTAGTTAACTCACTTTGTACTATGGTGATATGAATATAGCTGATTTTAATGAAATCGAATGAATAAATTCTAGATGAATCAATCAGCTTATAAACTGTGTATATTGTGGTTACACACACACACACACATAAGCATATGTATCCATGATATTAAAACAATAAAAAAATGCTTACATTTCTTAAAACAAAATTTTGTTACATTATACAAAATTCAATCAATAAACATTGAAGTAAAGATAATGATTGCTGTGTATTCAAAGAAAAAATGAGATCAAATGAATGCCAACAAATGATAGATTTTATTAAAATTTATGGTTGTCTAGGTGCATGTTTATATGTAAAAATATCAATGAAGAATGTAACGATAGAAAAGTTAAACAATTTATTTTTATCAGTAAGGGGTTGTGAAAGTTTTTTTTTACCTTAGATTGATATCATGAATGAATCAGTGTTTGACCACCATTTAAAGGCTGGAGGCACTAGACATCCATTTCGTTCTAGTATGGGACTTTTCAGAAGTGCGCATCCACGATCCCACTACATGAGACTCAAACCCTGGATCTACGGTCTCGTGAGCGAACGCCTAACCTATAGACTACTGAGCGAGCATCCAATGGTGCTAATATTTAACTCCAACTAATCTACGATATTGAGCGAACGTTCTCGATTGTTTTCAGTGAGTAATTGCCTCATATTCGAATCCCGCGTGCAGGATTGTGGATGCGCACTTTTAAGGAGTCCTATACTAGAACGAAACAGCTGTTTGGTTCTTCCAGGTTTTTAATGCTGGTCTAACATTGATCCATTCAAGATATCAATTTAAAACTATTTTTATACATTTTCAATAAATGAAAAAAAATATTTTTCATTTTAATGTTTTACATAAACTATCTAGTAAATTAATCATAATAAGATTTGATGAAGCATACTGTTACGAATTCCAAACTAACAACAACAGAACTATCCAATAGAATTTAATTTAATGAAAGTCCTTCAAGAGATATTAGTTTTGGATGTCGATTTCTATAGATCTGTGCAAAAAAGAAGCTAATGAAATCATATACAAATCTAGTTAAAAAATAGTAAATTTTTTTCTTGTCATTCCAATATTTACAAGAATCTCTCCCTATTACAGTTACTACTTTTAAGCATACTTTCTCTGAAAATAAACTCAAATTTCATCTTCCTTAAAATTTTAATTAACATCGGTTCCGTTTTTTTCAGTTGTGTCTTTTTGAGCAGTTTCTTTAGAGAATTTGACAGCATCAGATAATATCGAAGATATTTTGGTAAAATAGTCAAGACACTTCATAAGGACAATTCCTGAACCGTTGTCTGAGCGATATAACACTAAGTCCTTTCTTTTTTTAAATATAATTGAAAACGCCTCATCAGATAGCATTATCAAAATTATGTTTATGTTTAGTAGACAATTATATTTCAACTTTGTTAAGTTTATATATTTCTTAAGTAGAATTTTCAAATTTCTGAATAGATTAATTGGTGTGAACAAAGAAACAAGAAGCCGTGACAAGCTACGAAAGCTATTTTTCGGGACGTCATTTCAGTTAATTCAAAGCTCGTAAAACATTAACATTTATTTTTGTCCCTAGTCTATTCTACAGAACATAAACTTTCGTTTGATGTATAATTCACTACTATAGGCCTTTTTGTTTCATAGCTATTGTAATTTAAACGTATTATTTTGTACTCTATTTTCTGTGCTAATCCTTAGTTTTGAACATAGTTTTGTTTTCCTAATTATTGTACGTTGTGGCCGGGTTGGTCATTTATTTATTCATGTATGTTTTCACGCTGATCAGGAAATCGGGAACCAGATCGGAATCGGGAATAAATCGAGTAACGTTCCAGTTGATTTGTCTTCTCTCACTCGCGTGCTTGTCAGACAATCAGGTGATAGAATAGTTTTCTTCTCTCTACCCCACTTCGAACTCACGAGTACTAGCCTCAAAGTTAAGCCAGTCAGCCTATCGCGTCAAAGTCTCAATCTAGTACGTTAGACAAGTTATCCTCAGCACCAAAAGTGGGTAGATAGATCAAGGACGTAACATTAATTATTATGCCAGATAAATTGTTTATACAAAACTCTTGTCAATTATATGCAACCTTAAGAGTATATTAAGGATAGTGTGATGACAACAAACTGTACTTATTCAAACAAATATTTAACAAATCGTTCAATCATGTTAAGCTTTATTGATAAAATGAATCGTACGTTGAATACAAGATAAGTATTCTTCATTGAATAATCTTTAAATATGAATAAAATAGATAAATCTACTAATAAGATAACAAACCATGTGTGTTGGCTTAATTAAAATGAATAATATACTGATTTACAGTCTAAAATAAACAGTTTGTACAATAGAAAAGCTTAAAAATTAACCATTGCAATAACATTGATTGTATTTTGGGAAACTGATGACTAAGAATGTTCCATTTCTTTTTGTAAGAAAACAATATTAAGACAGTCATAAATAATAACAGACCAAAAGATAAACTATCAATTCAGTGTAAATCATAATAGTTTTACTCTCTTAATACGTTTGACTAATCTAAATATTTGGGTTGAAATTGGGTTCAGTCAGTCAATTATCTACAACGTAGGAGTAGACACATATATGCATCAGTCCACGTTGCTGCACCTCATTAGTGCAACAAGATGAACACCAAATTCATAGAAATTGTAAATTCAATGGTGGAAGTATATATTAAAAAAGATTGCATATAGGTATATGATGTATGGAAAAGGAATAAGCTCATAGAAAGAAACGTATAAAGCAATTTCAATCTCACGGTTTAAGGGAAGATGGAGATCGATTCTGAACCATATAACCAAGAGTCACCAACCATTAGTTACGACAGTCGCGCCAACCCAAACCAAGTAATCTGCATCTCCTAACATGGCTCAGATCAGAAGTTAATGTCTTCAAGTACTGATGCCACGTTTTGGTTTGGCCGCTCCTAAATTTATTACAACCATCCCCAACACTGGTTAGCATTGCATGTCGTGGTAATCCTTGTTCAGGCATACGTAACATGTGGCCCAACCATCTCAGTCGATGAAGATTAACAACCTCATCAACTAATTTACCACCATTCTCTAATAACCTGCGTCTAACCTCACTATTACTTACCCGGTGATCTCAGCAGATCCGAGCAATATTTCTAAGGCATCTGTGGTCAAATACTAGTGCCTCACGAGTATCCTCTACTCTTAATGGCCATGTTTCGCTGCCGTAAATTAAAACAGAACGAACTGTCGCGCAGTATACTCGTCCTTTTACTGATAGACGGATATCTCTCCTTCGCCATAAATGACATAAGTTGGCAAAAGCCAAACGAGCTTTTGAATCCGTTCAGACACCAACCCATTAGGGCTGATCAGACTTCCAAGATAAGTGAAGTTGTCAACGCGTTCGACTACTTCACTCCCTATCCTTAGTTCAGGTGTTGACACAGATCAGTCCTGAAGCAACAACTTGCATTTAGAGGGAGAGAAGCGCATCCCAAACATCCTGGTATGTTTGTTCAATGATAACGAAAGACGGCATTTTATCAGTAGTAAACAGTAAAATATTATGTATTTCGCTTAAAATCACATTGTTTGTGTGAGCTTGTGGTACCAACCGACATCTAAACTGAAATAGATACAATATGATTCAAATCTGAAGCCCAATAATCAAACTTTCAGTGAGTATATCATCTATTTATCATTAGAATTGTTAAATACATCAAGCTGATAAGGTCTACAGTTCTAGTAATCGTAGTAAATGTCGAACAGATGCTAATTAATTAATTGGACTAGGGTAATACATGTGATAACTTATAAATTTACTTTTGACTAACCGTATCTTTCAAATGAATAAATGAACAAAATGATAAAACAAGCAACTAAGTATTCTATAGTTCGTTAGTAAAATAGGAAACAGCATTATATATACGAGTTGGTTTTTGTTTATAAACAATATTGACTTACAAACAGTAAAATATTAAACTAATTAAAAATTATTGTCTCAAATAAAAATTATTAGGATAAATCAATTGGTATAGAATGCCAAGTACTTATAAATCAATTAAACATTTAAGTAAACTTAAAAAATCAGTATAGGGGTTGTGGCGATTTTTGATTGAGGTCATGAACCGATTGATGTTAGACCACCGTTGGAAACCTAGAAGCATCGGATGGCTATTTCGCCCTATTGTGGGGCTCCTCAGCAGTCCTAATAATGATAATTATAATGTGCTCACTCGTGACTAGGTTAGTGAGGGGATTCTTGGGGTTCTAGTGAGAAGCCGTGACCACTAGAGTTAATCCATATCGGGTAGAGACAGGCATCTACCTCAGTACAATGGAAGGTGGTCGCGCAATTTAATGGATTTGGTTGATGTTAGACACTAACAACATTGGATGCCAGCTCAGTGGTCCAGTAGGTTAAGCGTTCGTGCGCAAGATTGAAGGCCCTGGGTTTGAATCCCGCAAGCGGGATTGTGGATGAGCACTGTTGAGGAGTCCCACAATAGGACGAAACAGCCATCCAGTATTTCTAGGTTTTCAATGGTGGTCTAACATCAGTCGGTTCATGATTTCATACAAAAACTTTAAAAAATCCTTAAATGTCTGTCATATTAATTATGTACAAAATCAAAATAATAAAATTCTTATCTACTTACTTAGAATTGCAAGAAAAAAATGCTTTGAAAATACTTATATTCTCTTTAAACTTACACAAGGACATATATTACTGATTCATTAAAAAGTAATACAACAATTCATATGTTTAAAATCATATGATCAGATAGAGTATTCTATTATTGGATTAATAATAGTTCATCAATTTTGAGCACGTGTTGAACAAAATAAATTATACCTTATACTATAGGATATAAAATGTACTGAATATTATGATTGTATAAATGATTGAATGATAAATATTATAAAAGAACCTTTTTAAAGCTTTTCATTATAAATAAGTACTAATTCATTTTGACAAGTTTTAATAACAGTTAAGTAAATTTAATGTAGCTGTACAACACGGAGAACACCAACCAATAAAAAATTGATGGCGAAACTCTGGAAGATGTGGAATCCTTCACATACCTGGGAAGCATCATCGATGAACACGGAGAATCAGATGCAGACGTAAAGGCGAGGATTGG